CCCCGGGCGGGTCGGCCCGTTGGGAAGGACACGCCGGTCTTTGCTCCGAAACCCCCCCGTGCCCTGAGAACCCACGGCCGGGGCACTGCCCGTGGGTCCTGCCGCAGCGCTGTGGCACGCGTGGGTTTTCCCTCCTCCATCACTGAGATGTGCAGCCCTGGCCCTTTCCTCTCCTGGTGGGGATTTCCCATGTCCGTGTCCCAGGAGACCGAGCCTTTAAAAAATCCTTCTTTTCCAATGGCTTTTTCTAAGAGTGGGTTGGTTTTTTTTCCCCTCGGCTTCTTTACTTGCTCCCGAACAAGCTCTAAAACCCAACCATGTCATTTCTAGCAGTTCTTTTTCATCCGCTTTACGGTTTCCCTTCCGATTTGGTGCTCAGAGCTGCCCAGCGATGCTGCAAACTGGTTTTACTGGGCAGCACCCGAGGGTCCCCGGGGCTCTGCCACGTTTTACTGCCTGGGACATTCGGTCCCTTCTGCTTGTACCAAACGCGCATCTTTGCTCCCTGCTCGGGCCAGCGATGCTCCCGCTGCCGTTTGAGACTCTCCAAGAGTTTGCAAAGGGAACTCCGGGCTGGGGAGGGTTTTGAAAGAATCAATCCCACCGCTGTTGCCTTCGTGGTTGCTTTGTGAGCACCAAACAAAGCTGGAAACGGGCAGCGGCTCGGGGGTGGCATTTGTAGGGCAAACGTAGGAATAACCTTTGGGAAAGGCTCTTCAAATGGGGCAGGGGGATTTTGTTTTGCCTGGTTAATTCTACCCGCAGTGGTTGGGGTCGTTGGAGTTGATAGTTACTATTTAACACACTCGTAGCAACAGCGTTTCCAACTTTTTTTAGCAATAGTTTCGATTTTTTAGCAAGTGTTTCAAAAACCCCACAAATTGTTCTTCAAAAAGGCAGCAAAACCTCCCGGTTTTAGGGACAACGTTTCCATTTTCAGCAACAGTTTAGATTTTGTAGCAAGTTTGGGGTTTTAGCAACAGTTTTTCCAAAACTCGGCAACAGTGTTTTCACTTTTCAGCCCGTGCGTTTCCATTTTTAGCAACAAGGTGTCAAATTTTTTTTGCAAAATCGCCTCACTCCTGTTTTTCTTTTTCTTGCCGCTGCGAATTTATTTCGTTAAATAACTTTCTGGTTGCTCAGATTAGTGGGAAGTGGGGATGAGAGTCTGAAAACAGGCTGAAAGCTTCTAAGGAAAATATATTAATTTTTGATTTATTTTTGTTTTTCTCCCCCCTTTTTTCCTCATTAAAAAATAATTATATATATATATATATATATAAAATCCCTCCAAAACCAGTTTGCTGAGCGAAAATGAGAAACGTCCCTTTGTGGAAGAAGCTGAGCGTCTCAGGGTCCAGCACAAAAAGGATCACCCGGATTATAAATACCAGCCCCGGAGGAGGAAAAGTGTAAAAGCTGGGCAGAGTGACTCCGACTCGGGCGCCGAGCTCAGCCACCACCCGGGCACCCAGATCTACAAAGCAGACAGCGGGCTGGGGGCCATGCCTGATTCCCACCACCACGGTGATCACACAGGTAAAAGTTCCCCAGGGGTGAAAAAACCTCTGCAGGTCCCACGAGGTTTGGGACGTGAATCCACCCGAGGGTACTGGGTTTGTCTGTCCCCCGGGTTCATACCCGTGGATTGGGACCATCCCAAAGCAGGAGTTGGTGCCCCAAGAGCGGTGGGTTTGCTGCGGATTGTGAGCCTGGCTGTAGTTTGCTACGTGTAGAGCTGACTGTGCCATAGGATATCCCCAGAGTGCAGGGCCCCTGGTTTATTAGCTGGCCCGGGAGTGGGGAGAATTAATTGTGAGCTAATAAGGGTCAATAATCCATTGGCCATATGAGGGGTGCCTGGGGGAGCAGGTTCTGGTGACACGGCTTCCCCCCAAAGCTCCCCGCTTCTCTCAGGGCTGGGATTTGGAGCAGGGAGAGTGTTGACAGATTCCAGGAGGATTGCGAACGTCCTGCGCAGCTTCAGCCGTGTCTGCACTCTCTCCCAGCCCTGCTGGGGATCCCAGCCATGGCCCACTCTGCTGGGATGGCTCCTCTCCCTTCAGGAGAGTTGGGATGGCTTCAGGCTGCCCGTTGGGAGAGGCAGAGTCGGAGCCTCTGAATCCAGCCCCTGGTTCTGATTCCCAGGGGAGGGGGAGTTTGAGGAGCTGGGGATGTCCTGCCATGTCCCAGAGCGACCTTGATGGTCACAGCTTACTCCTCAACTTCTCTTTCCCATTGCAGACCATCACCCATGTGGTGGTTGACTCCAGCTGAGGGACACAGTCCCTGGTGTGGTGGCAGGGGGATATCAGCCTCCTCCAGCACCTGGCTGTAGACTTGAATCTCCCTTCCCTTGCAATAATAAGAGAGAGAGTTGTGCCTTTTTAAATAATCCTTGAAGGAGCTGTGTGTTTTGTGGCAGCTGTTGTTAAAGCCTTGCTGTCCCTTTGTCTCCAGGCCAGACCCATGGGCCTCCCACCCCACCTACCACCCCCAAAACCGACCTCCACCACGGCAGCAAGCAGGAGCTGAAGCACGAGGGCCGCCGCCTCGTGGAGAGCGGCCGCCAGAACATTGACTTCAGCAACGTGGACATCTCCGAGCTGAGCAGCGAGGGCGTCA